CATCCATCCATCCATCCATCCATCCATCCATCCATCCATCCATCCATCCATCCATCCATCCATCCATCCATCCATCCATCCATCCATCCATTATCTTTACCTGCTTTTTTCTTTTCGGGTGGCGGGGGTCACTGGTGTCCATGTCCAGCAGTCACTGTGCGGGAGACGGGGGACACCCTGGACAGGTCTCTAGTCCCTCACAGAGACGCATAGAGACAAACGAGACAAACAAACATTCACTCTCTTACTCTCACCTAGAGACAATTCAGAGTTACCATTAGTCTAACATGCATGTTTTTGGTCTGTGGGAGGAAACCGGAGTACCCAGAGAAAACCCACGCATGCACGGAGAGAACATGTAAATTCAGAATGGCACCCCCAGCCAGGATTCCATCTGGTGACCTTCTCGCTGAGAGGCAACCGCTCTACTAACTGAGCCACCGTGCCGCCAAAAACAACTCAGTATATCAACAAAGTCCATGCTCAATAATCCAGGTATACAATCCAACATTTTTCAATCGGGTCATCTGGACAGTTTCTTTTTTATTTTCTTTGTGGTGGTTTGTTCCACGTTGGAGTAAGCTGTTGGGGGGGAAAAATCAGTTTTGTGTTGTGTGTTTGACTGATGAAGCCTTCTGGATTGAAGGCGAAACGTTTCAGCACAACAAAAAAGAAACTGTCCATATGACCTGACTGAAAAATGTTGAACTCAGTATATCTTTAATGTCCTTCAGTCAGTCCCGTTGTCCTTCCAGTGCTGCTTTATTGCAGTCGATCACTGACAGCCTTATCCATCTGACTGTGTGAGTCCCGTAGATTTTATTGAAGTTTCTGTTTCCCTGTCGTCTTCTGCAGCTGTACAAGCGTTTCAGTCTCCCTGAGAGTCCACCGGAGAGCATGGGCAGGGGAAGAGACTGGAATGTTGACCTCATCCCCAAGTTTCTCATGGCCAATGGTCAGTATCTGATCACGTGTGCATAAAATAACTTTTATGATTTAAAGGTCTTCACACAATAAGGTAAATGGTCAAAAGTGACCGTCCAGGTGCAGTTGTTCAGGTGTGTTTCTCCCTTAGTCACATATCATGAGGAAAAAGGGTTGATAATGTTTTTTCCAGTATGGGTGTGTGTTTGTTTGAGTGTTGTTTTAGCAAAATATTTGATGAACCTGGATGGATAGGGATGAAACTCTCAGAGAGTAATCAATGAATGTACATCTACAACTGATTACCTTTTTAGAATCAGCCCCATCAAGATGGCCGCCACAGCTAAGCAACCTTAGTAAACACTAAATTGACTATAAACCAGTCAGTTTCACAGATACTGAGAAAGAAAAGGTGTGGTAGTGGCTGAGAGTCATTTACAACATGTACGATATCTGTTTTGATACTTTTGACATTAACTATTAAAGTTGACTCTGACTGTTAGTAAAATATTCCATGAACCACTTGATGAATTTAGATGAACCTTTCAGAAAATAATCACGTGAGTTTGGAGTCAAGCCATTTTAAATTGGCTGCTGCAACCAACTGATTAATGGAAACAACAAAATGGCTATAACTCAGTTAATGATATTGATAATAATAACAGAATAATAAATAATAAATAAAATTAATATTAGAGTTTTTCTTCTCATCCAAGAAGAAAGAGTCTGTTGGGATTTTTTTCACCTCCAGTTCCTACATGTGTCCAGTTTCACTACTTTTTGTCTGTCTGAACAGGTCTCACTTGTAAATGAGTCTTCTAGGCTCAATGTGACTTATCTGTCTAAATAAAGGTTTGAGTTTAATTTTATTGAACGTAGTATAATAAAAGAATAAACAAAGTTACATAAAAAGAAAATAAATTCAAACCAAAATCCAGCAGAGAAAAAACCCACCAGTAGTAAAGTATATTTACACGTTCAAAGGAGTGGGTTGAAGTATAAACTTATTGTTACAATATATTCTTTAAGCACCAACGTAAGTTGTGATGTCAAGCCGGTGATGGCGTTCAACGTTATTTACAGGGTTTGAGCAGCTCAACTAAAACTCTGTCACTTTTTGTAGATCTTAGCTTAAAACATGACAGGCAGCAGACTCAGTGCTTTCTTTTACGGAGCACTTGTCCTTTCTTTAATTTGTGTCATTACAGGCCAGCTTGTGAAGATGCTGCTGTACACTGAGGTGACCCGGTACCTGGACTTTAAAGTGGTGGAGGGAAGCTTCGTTTACAAGGGAGGGAAGATCTACAAGGTGCCGTCCACTGAGACCGAGGCGCTAGCTTCAAGTAAGCCATCCAGATGTAACAAAGCTCATCCAGATGTATCTTATAACAGTGAAAACATCAACTGACTACTTGGCTGAAGCTCGATTTAATTTGGAGCGTGTGTTTAAATGTCCAGATCTGATGGGAATGTTTGAGAAGCGACGGTTTCGGAAATTTTTGGTCTTCGTTGCCAATTTTGATGAGAATGACCCCAAGACCTTTGAAGGTGTGGATCCTAAAACCACAACGATGAGAGATGTTTACAAGAAGTTTGACCTCGGCCAGGACGTTATTGACTTCACCGGCCACGCCCTGGCCCTCTACAGGACAGACGAGTAAGAGCAGCAAGAATACCTCCACAGTCACAGATGAACAAGCGTTTGGTGGTTTTTATCTGTGATTTTACTGCTTTGAGCTCTTTCACAACACAAAGCTACACTCACTCTGTGTTTTTCAGTTATTTTGACATTTCACTTTGTTTTACTTTTATGAACATTTACGTCAAACTAATTGAATCCAGTTTCCTCGTTGTTTTCACTCCAGATATCTTGATGTTGCCTGTTTGGACACGATCAACCGTATCAAACTGTACAGTGAATCACTGGCACGTTACGGGAAGAGCCCCTACCTCTACCCTTTGTATGGTCTGGGAGAACTGCCACAAGGATTTGCCAGGTTTTCTATTATTTCTCATCATTATAATGCAATTAATAGTCTTTGTCAGTAACTAAAAATAATGCTAAGTCCATCTTGATTTGTCATTTATCTTATCAGGTTGAGCGCAATCTATGGTGGAACATACATGCTGAACAAACCAGTGGATGAGATCGTGATGGACGGTGATAAAGTGGTTGGAGTGAAGTCTGAGGGTGAGGTATGGTCACATTGGTCTATAGCCCAAAGGAACTCGAGTTTGACCATGTTGGACCAACTTTGTGCAAACACAATCAGTGAATTTATCTGAAATGAAAACGTCGTCCTTCTACAGGTAGCTCGTTGTAAGCAGCTCATCTGTGACCCCAGTTACATCCCAGACCGTGTCCGTAAGGCGGGTCAGGTGATCCGGGTGATCTGCATCCTCAACCACCCCATCAAGAACACTAATGAGGCTAACTCCTGCCAGATCATCATTCCTCAGAATCAGGTCAATCGTAACTCAGGTGAGCATCATTTGCACCTTTAGCTTTATTGATAATCTCTTGAAAGGAGCAGTCGCTTCACTTTATCTGATAAATAAACAGCAGCTAGAATTCATTTGTTTAGAACTTTTTTCTTCCATTTTGAGTTTATATGAAAGCCTTCTTGAGCTCAGAATTAAAGTATCTGGACAAAGTCTAAAAATGATCTGATCTACTTTTAGATTTTCTCGTTGTTTCAAAATAAATTCACAGATTTTTCACATCCAGAAACATTTTTTCTGCTCTTGATATTTTCAGTAGTTTATCTTTGTTTTACAGATAATTTATAAAGACCAAACTGAAACAGGAAAATTGAAAACATTGTTTGTTTGTTTATTTGAGTGGGAAACATAAACAGCAACAAGTTATTTTAGACAACTACAACCACAATATTCAACCTGTAAACCTGAGAGGTGTAGAGGAAGCAGCTTGGCTCTTCTGCACAGAAATAAGAAACAGGATTAATAAATCAGCTGCGGCTCGCCCTGACCTGCAGCCAGTCACGTGGGTTCAGGTGAGCTTGCAGTAATAACTTTCTGTGAATTCACTCTTGCTGTAACCACTGTAAGAAAACTGTAAACGAGAAAATATTAACAAAACATCTGTTAAATTGTTCTGGAATTGATAGCTCACAAATTATAAAATCCCTTTTCACATTTCTAAAATTTAATGAGACTTTTCAAAGTCAAAAATTTTTTAGTCAACACTTTTTCATACTTTAAAAATACACAATCTACATAAAACATGAAAACAGTAGACCCTCGCTACTTCATGGTTCATTTTTCACGGACTCGCTCTAACGCGTTTTTTCAAAATAAGATTGGACATGACGCACAACTGGCTGATTGATGGATGAGCCGCACGATCGGCATGGGATTTTTATTTAAAATACATTATTTCAAATTATTTATCACCTGCTTTACATTTGTACAGCCCACACTGCAGGAGAAACTTCCTGCTGGAGCTGATCAGCTGTTCACGTGCAGAATAGAGAAGTGGGCGTGGCCAAGAGAGCAGCGGAGGCAGGGAGCTGAAATCATGACATTCTGTCTCTTTTAGAGTGTTTGCAGTTTTGAAACATACACTAAAATAAACTATCACTTACTTCTTGATTTTCACTTATCACGGGTCTTCAGGGTACAGATCCCCCGCTCTAAACGAGGGACTACTGTAATAAACAGCAAATCTTCTAACAGGACACATTAAATCTGTCATGGATGGATTCATTTTAACTTCCACATCAGAACAAAACACAAAACCAGAAGTCAAACAAGTTCATTTATTAAAAAAATCAATCCAATGCAGAATCTCTGTCAGTCTGTCTTTGTCTCAGTCAGACCTGGTGGATCATCAGATCACAGAAATGGAGGTCTGAGCTGCTCTGGACAGGATTAGTTAACCAGTTTTACTTTGAATCTACACCAAACAACACACAGATGTTTGTTTATTGACAAAAAAAAATGATGTGAAGATGTTGGTGAGTGATTTGAAGGTCACTGCTGTAAGCAGAAAGTATTATTCCTCCAACTTACTAACAATTTCCGGTCCTTTTGTGTGCAGTCAATCAATAAAGCCTGAGTCAGGGCCAGCCCAAGCCTCCATGGGGCCCAAGCGAAACTTGGTTTGGGTCCCTCCATTTCTGCTAATAATGTGGATTACTGCAATCAACAGTCAGACGATCAGATCATTCATCACCTAACAAACTCATTGCAACTCTGACATCCCTGTTTACATAATCCTACGTGTATATATCATAAAAGTAACAAAAGAAAAGATAAACACCAGTATGCAGTGTATTTTACAGCAAAAGTGTCATCTTGTTCATTGTCTTTGGTTCCAAAGAACTGCAACAGTAATGTTCAAAATATTTTTGTAGAGCAAGATCAACAAGAAACAGATAAAATAATTTAGATGCATAAAAATACATTAAATTGTGCAAAAACAGACAAAATTGAATAAAATCAAATACCAAGGAAATACTTAAATAATGTGAATGAACAATTTTTCATTCAACCGTTGTTTCGACAGGTTAATCCCTTAATTAATTAACCTTAGGTTAATTACTTGAAACCACGTAAAATGGTAAAAAAAAAAAAATGAAGTTGAATAATTAGTTCTTAAAACTATGTAAATGTATGCAATAATGTGCAAAAGCTGAACTGAAAATATTAAATGGAATTATATAGAAATCATTACTAAAAAAAATAAAAAAATTCAATTCCACATAAGGGGCCCCCTAGTGGCCCCTGGGCCCAAAGCAGCTGCTTAGTTTGTTTATGCCTTGGGCCGGCCCTGGCTTCACTGGGGTCAGGGGGCGGAGCTAAGTTCTATGTTGTGTTTAGGTAATCATGGAGATATAGCAATTACTTATTGGGCAGGAAAAAGGAATACATTAGTAGTTTTAGATTTTTCAATTGAATTCAGTTTATTTATGTAGCACCAAATCACAACAGAGTTGTCTCAGGGCACAGTACAGGAGCATCCACATACATAGAAAAGCCAGTTAGTAAAGTTCTCTATCTAAGGAAGCAGCAGACTCGTTGAATCTTCATTTCATCACAGTCTCCCATCCTGAGCAAGCACAAAGGGGACAGTGGAAAGAAAAACTCCCTTTAACAGGAAGAACCTCCAGCAGAACCAGACTCAGGACAAGGAGCCGTCTGCTTCGACCGGCTGGTTGAGAGGACAGGAAGGAGAGACAGACGTTAACATAAATATAAAACTAAGTAGATGTTCTTTTTTTATAAATGATACAGAATAAACTACAAGTCAACATGTCTTTGGAGGTAATTAAGTACTTTCCAGGGCCCCACACTGGCCTGCGGGCCTAAGCAGGATTCAACTATAGCCGCCACCAGTGGTGCAGTCTACGTGATACTCGGGTATACGGAGTATACCCACTAGAAAAGCTTAAGAATTTCAGTATACCCACTTAAAAGTGCCCAGTGATACATGACATATTATTAGACACGTGTCATTGATACATTAAACGGCAGTGAAACTCCTCCGTAACGATCTATGGGTATGCAGCGCTTTGCTTTGATACTGTTTTATACATTCTGTAACATGTTTTAATACAAAGACAACTGAGTACCAAATTTGTTGTTCATTTATTCAAATATAAGCATCAGAGAAGTTTGGAAATGTTCAATATGCTTAAAAATCAAAATAAATTGATGATTACATTGTAATACTAGTACTAATCAGTGTACTTTGGTTGCTAAGCACAGTATACCCTAAACAAAAATGCAGACGACACCACTTCTGCCCACATAGCAGAACTGAGTAAATTCCAAATTAGCTTATTTTACCAGAACAATAACAGACCAACATTGCACCTCACTACTATAATCAGCTGTTTTTCTGACACGCCCATTGAAAGGCAGACGTGTAAGGACGTCTAGTATCTGTACGTAAGTATAGTTTCTCTAGTACTACCACCCATAAGTTCTGATCTGCTCACGATAATTTAATGAAACTTGGTACACACGTGCATCATCATAGATTGAGTGTAGCTTCCACGTTTCATCACGCCAGATCCAGATGTCAAGGTTATAAATCAAGGTCAAAGGTTATACAAGGTCTTTGCTTGTCCGGACTATAAATCTGTAGCAATGTAGTTTTTTGACGGACATGTAATGTGCAGTATGTTGTACTTTTGTTGTAACAAAAAAATATTTACTCAAGACAACTGTTTCAATTCTAAAGTCAGTTTTGTGATAGTTTTGAATTTATTTTAATAGAAAGATAAGCTCAAATCCGTCATTATGTCATATTTTGGGTATAACACAAAGTACATTTGACATAGCTGCAGAATTTTTGCTGTATTTGGTTTGAAGAAATCTAAAGCTGTGGTGTTGTGTCAAAGCTTTCCCTTTCAACCCTGGCTTTCTTCTGTTTTTGTTTTTTATATAAGCACGGCTTATGTTGCTGTTTTTTGTCGATGAAACGAGCAATAATTGCTCTTTTTGATGCTCTCAGTGCAGCATGACAACTCTTCAACTCTAAACCATCTTTTTAAACGTGGCGTTTCATGAAGGGTGTGTATTCCTGAAGCTCTTCCATAATGAAAGGCACATGGAAATCACTTTGTTATTTTAGTTTGTGTCAATGTAAAACTCATTTGTTTGACTAAAAGACCTAATTATCATTACTAAAAATGATTTTCTAAAGTGTTTTTTATTAGCTGTCTTAGTTTAAGTCATATAAGGCAAATCAAGACTAATTATAACATAATTTTCAGGCTTGCCATCTGAGTATGTACATGTTCCCTTGGCAACCCAACAAATATTTACTCTAAAGTCTGGGAGCTGCCCGGTCTATTTGCATCACAAAGTACAGCTCATGAGTAGGTTGAGACATAGTCAGTGTTTGAAGCTTTTTCACAGTTAGATCAGACACTGAGCAGAACTTTGTCTGGTGCAGGATGGAGATTTGTCAGGGGCTACCAAGGTGACCTAACTAGTTTGAATGACACTGGCCGTGTTCAAAATGTTTACTCACCCTCTACATCATGGTCGTTATACATGTAGTAAACTACAGTAGTCCCTCGTTTATTGTGATCGTACCCTGAAGTCCCGCGATAAGTGAAAAACCACGAAGTAGGAATACTAGTACAAGCAGTACGAAGTAGTTTATTTTGGTATTTATATATCAAAGGAAATTTAAACACTTCCCACACTCTTGTAATATTCCAAACAATGTTTCTAAACTCTAAACTCTCTAAAGGAGCACAGAATGTCATGATTTCAGCTCTCTGCCGCCTCTACTCTTTGACACCAGCGAGCGCACTTGGCCACGCCCACTTCTACGTTCTGCACGGAGAACGGCTGATCAGCTGCAGCAGGAAGTGTCTGCTGCAGATCTGGGCTGCACAAAGGTGCAGCAGGTGCCAAATAATTTTAAATTATTTATTTTAAATAAAAAATCCATGCCGATCGTGCCGCTCATGCATTAATCAGCCAGTTGTGTGTCATGTCCACTTTTATTTTGAAAAACTGCGATAGAGTGAGTCCACGCTAAACGAACCACGAAGTAACGAAGGATTACTGCATATAAAAGATGGTCTGAACTTTTTAAAAAAATACTATTTGAATGCAGTATTTCATAGATGTGTGCTGAATATTCCCAGCAGCTCGATGGATTAGTGGTTAGCACTGTTGCCTCACAGTAAGAAGGTCCTGGTTTCAATCCCTGCTTTGGACCTGGGGTCGTTCTGTGTGGAGTTTGCACATTCTCCACATGTTTGGTTAGGTTTACTCCGGTTGTCCACAAACATGCATGTTAGAAGCCTTCAGTCCCAGGCCTCCCTTACAAAAGAGATCTGTGTTCTCAGTGGGATTAAATAAATAAATAGATAAAACAGTCAGGTGTCACATAAACTGACGTTCAAATACACACTCAAATCTGAGGTGATGAGCAACATAATTTAGCTGGTTTTGGCTGAAAAATAAATTTTGCATAAACTTTTGTCACCGACATCACTGACATAAATTTTATTTACACATATTTGTTACCTGTTTTCGTTCTAATATATCTGTTTACAGAAGCAGCTGTAACTATTGAAGAACAATCACTATACGAGTTATTCTGCATAAAACAACTGATTTAAAGTTGTTGTAGTTGTTGTGTGTGTGCAGATGGTAAAAGAAGCTAAAACGTGCCTTGCTTTTCATATTGTGATGTTCAACTCAATTCAATTCAGTTTATTTGTCCATCCATCCATTATCTTTACTCGCTTCTTCTTTTCTGGGTCATGGGGGTCGCTGGTGCCCATGTCCACCCATCACTGTGTGAAAGGCAGGGGACATCCTGGACAGGTCTCCAGTCCATCACTGGGACACATAGAGACAAACAACCATTCACTCTCTCTCACCTAGGGACAATTTAGAGTTACCAATCAGTCTAACATGCATGTTTTTGGTCTGTGGGAGGAAACTGGAGTACCTGGAGAAAACCCACATGCACAGAGAGAACATGCAAACTCCACCCAGAAAGGCCCCTGGATCGGGATTTGAACCAGGGACCTGCTCACTGAGATGCAGCAGCTCTACCAGCCATCGTGCTGCCCCCAGTTTATTTATTTAGCGCCAAATCACAACAAAGTTGTCTCAGGGACTTTACAGGAACATTCACATAAAAGCCAATTAGTAAAGTTCTCTATCTAAGGAATCCAGCAGACAAGTTGAATCTTGTCTTCGTTGCAGTCTCTCATCCTGAGCAAGCACAGTGGAGACAGTGGGAAGAAAAACTCCTTTTAAAAGGAAGAAACCTCCAGCAGAACCAGGATCAGGACAAGAGACCATCTGCTTTGACCGGCTGGTTGAGAGGACAGGAAGGAGAGACAGACCAACACAGAATGGTAGGTCCAGGTATAGGTCCAGGTCCAGGTATAGGTCCAGGTATAGGTCCAGGTATAGGTCCAGGTATAGGTCCAGGTATAGGTCCAGGTCCAGGTGTATCTGAAAGACAAAAACATGTTAAGGATAGAAAAAATAATTACAAATACAAAACAGGTTGAGTAGAGAAAGTAAAGACAGTAGCAGAGTGAAAAGTGTGGTCAGTTTGTCCTCCAGCAGTCTAAGCCTATAGCAGCAGAACTAAGGGACAGCTCAGGAAACCCAAGCCGACCCTAACTATAGGATTTAGCAAAAAGGAAAGTTTTAAGTCTAGTTTTAAAACTGGATAATGTGTCAGCCTCACGGACAGAGATTGGAAGTTGGTTCCACAAGAGAGGAGCCTGATAACTGAAAGATCTTCCTCCCATTCTGTTTTTGTAAATTCTAGGAACCACAAGTAAACCTGCAGTCTGAGAGCGAAGCGCTCTGTTAGGAAAATATGGAACAATAAGATCTGTAATATAAGATGGAGCTAGGTTGTTGAGAGCTTTGTAGGTTAGAAGTAAGATTTTGAATTCTATTCTGGATTTGACAGGGAGCCAATGGAGAGAAACTAAAACTGGAGAGAGATGATCTCTCATGATCATGATCTTTATTGTGTTTCATCGTTACATTCACCAGACATTTTAAATGTAGGATCATTTTTCTAATAATTTCTCAAGTCTCATAACTCAGTCAATAGAGAAGATTAGCCACGCTTTCCTCGGGGTCTCCTCTAAGTTGGACAGACCCTTAACACCTCCCTAGGGAGGCATCCAGGGCCCATCCTTACTAGATGCCTGATCCACCTCAACTGGCTCCTGTGGATGTGGAGGAGCAGCAGCTCTACTCTGAGCCTCTTCTGGAGAACTGATCTTCTCACTCTATGTCTAAGGATGAGTCCACCTACCCTGCAGAGAAATCTCATTTTGACCGCCTGTGTGTGAGATTTTGTTCTTTTGGTCACTACCCAGAGCTTTGAACAATGGTGGGGGGAGGAATGTAGACTTTTGCAGGTCAGCTCCCTCTTCACCACAACAAACCGGCTCACAGTCCACAAGTGGATGCAGCAATTTGTCTGATGATGTCACGCTCCAAACTTCCCTCACTTGTAATAATAAATAAAAATAAAATGTTGCGTTGTCATTGTACGTTTCTATACAATGACAAAATTAGTTCTCTGCATTTAACCCATCACACCTGAGATACACCCAGGTGGAGCAGCTATGTAAGCACCCGGTGAGCAGTTAGGGATTAGGTGTCTTGCTCAAGGACATCATGGCAGGTCGGGGAGATGAACTATGACTTTCTGGTCCCAAGTGGGCTGCCCTACCTCTCCACCATCTTGGCCCCGATATATGTTCCACGTCTATGGTCATCAGGTGTGGGCAGTCCGTCCTTTTCCAACCGAGGACCATGGTCTCAGATTTAGAGCTGCAGATCTTCATTCCAGCCACTTCATACTCTGCTGCAAATTGCTCTAGTGAAGAGCTGGAGATCCTGGCACGATGATGCCAACATGACCACATCAGCCACTACCAGAGACTGAATCCTGAGGCCATACACATGTCTAGATAATCTGGGGCATGTTTTAACAAGTCTGAAGCTTTTTTATAAAACAGTGCCGCGTAATGGCCGCACAGTCCATGCTGTCTTTATGCTTCTTCTGCCCATTCCTAAATCACAGATGTAGCAGGGTACTTGAGATATGAAAAAATAAAAATGAATGAAGCAAGCATCACTGAATCAAAAGAGCCATGGAGCAGAACCCAGCTGGGTTGACTTGCTACACTACATATTAAACGTGTGAGGGACGTCTTCCTCATATTGTTTATAAATAAACTCACTTAATGGTTAAATACTTTTAAAACTGCTGTGTGTCATCATCAGTATTCACTTGGTAATAAATCTGCTTGTTGTTGTTTAATTGTTGCGACCGGGTGGTTGCACAACCCGTGTCATCACTTCATGACATTACTGAGCAGAGGCACCGGTTTACTTTTCCTTGTCTTGGCCACTTTGCTGCCTTGCTCCACGGCACAAAGGCATACCAGGGATGGGGTGGCTTTGACCCCATCCCACCCCATCACCTTGGTCCCTTCAGAAGTCACACTGAAGCAGCCAGAAAGTGTTTATATCCTGGACGGAGTTGTTTTGTGAAAGAGTCTTGACAATCACAATATTGAGCTGCATTAGCATTAGCCTTGATTAGCATGCTGTATCGGCTCAGGCTGCATCATAGTGTTATTTTCTGTACACTACTTTTACTGCATCACATTATGAGTTTCAAGGGCACCGCAATGTGGGGGGGACACGATGTGTGTAGGTGTGTGTGTGCGCGCGTGCACGTGTGTGCGCACGTAAATAAAGGTGTTCACTAGTGAACAAAAAAGCAGCATTTCACCTTGATTTCCTTTAATTCCACACATTTCATTCATGTTTCTCACCAAGTTTGTGTTAATTCAGCTGTGGATTTTAAAGACATTTTAACTTTACTTGTGTTCAACACTCTTCATCTAAATGATGTTTCTCGTGAAGCTTGAGGACAATAAGGTGTGGGGGTTTAAAGACATTTCAGCTTTAATGCACCTGAACACACAGAGTCTCTTACACCTGCAGCGTCTCACAGCGTCACAGTTACTGCTAAGTTAACATGCTACAGGCGTAGTGCTCCTCTCAAGCATCCTCCTAACATGAATATATGTTTATGATCAACCCCCTGGTCAACCACTGCCCACACTAAGCTGCTAAACTGGTGAGCAAGGAACACAGGTACCTCCACCTCCTCCACCTGTACGTTTTCTGCCGAGGCAAGAGGCAGGAAGGGACGGTGGAGAGTTGGAGGTAACCAGGAAAACCTGGAGTGGAGTTTTAGTGGCTTGAGTATTCTCCTATTAATCAAGTGGAATGGATTTGTTCATGAAGAAAGAGAAACTGCGCTGCCTGAACTAATGTTGTATAGTAAAAGTGGGGGGGTCCAAATGAACGTTTTTTTTAATGTGGGGGGGACTTGTCCCCTTCACATATAATGGTTGCGACGCCTATGCTAACAGCACTACAAAACGGTTAACATACGGCAGTGAAAGTGCACGAGTGGACAATTCAAACACAGCAATTGGTTTAGATTAAACAAACCTAATACACTGATCTCTCATCTCATATTACAACACCCCCACTCTACCCTAGCAACTTAATTAACTGAAAAATATGGCACAATATTTAGCCAAAAGACTCAACAACAGATAAAAACAGGGATAAAAGCTTGACAAAAGCAGCCAAGCAGCTGGTTAGCCAAACACGACTTAATATAAATACAGAGGATTAAAGTGTCATGTCATTTTTGTTTTCTGTCATAAATGATCATGGATTGGTTTATTCTGGAATTTGTGCTCCTCTGATCTGTTTTTTTTTTTTTTCACTACTGCAGACATCTATGTGTGCATGATCTCTTATGCTCACAATGTGGCAGCCCAGGGGAAGTACATCGCTATCGCCAGCACCACAGTGGAGACCAGTGACCCGGAGGCTGAGATTGAGCCGGCCCTGGAGCTGCTGGAGCCCATTGACCAAAAGTCAGTGCCAGACTTACCTCAACATTTTTATGAGATGCCTTTTAGCATTTAAAAAATATTATTTTTTGCATTTATAGTTTACCAAACAAGCAGGCCATTTAACGTTATTTACAACCAACAATATATAAAAACATGTCAATGTATTTTTATCTCGGCAGGTTTGTGGCAATTAGTGACCTTTATGAGCCCATAGATGACGGTACTGAGAGCCAGGTAAGACTTTTTTGAAGAATTCGTTTTGAATTGCATTTTAAAGTTAAAACAAGCAGAACACTAACTAAAATGTAAAATTAGCAAAGCTGTAGCTATAGGCTAAAATTAGCAAGACAGCAGCATAGTAGCTACAAGCGTAAAAAAAAATTAAGCTGACAAAAATAGAGTAACTGTGCTAAAGTAGCTTTCAGACCATGTTTTAGAAAAAAATTGAAGACCTTAAAACATTTCTATAGGAACATTTTATAAACAAAAATAAATAATTTGAAAAATATTAAAGTTACTAATATTAAAGATCATAGCTCGTTTTTATTGATTGAGCCGAACGTGTTGTTAAAAGAACAGTTAAAAAAGCAAAAAGTTTGCAGAGGTAGAATGACTGCAAAACATGTAGGATAATTTAAGGTTGGCTTCACACCAGTTCCATCATTATATGTCTTTTAAAGTTATAATGTTAATTAGTGAATAGCTGGTGTAGCAGTTTAGTTAGAGAGCTTTGAGTATCTTGAAATAAGATAGAAAGGCGCTATATAAGTACAGTCCATTTACCATTTAATACCTCGCTACTTTACGGTTCATTTTTCACGGACTTGCTCTATCGCGATTTTTCAAAATAAGATTGGACATGACACACAATTGGCAGACTGATGATGGATGAGTCGCACAATCGGCATGGAATCCATCCATCCATTATCTTTTACCCGCTTCTTCCATTTTGGGTCACGGGGGTCGCCGGTGCCCATGACCAGCAATCACTGAGCGAGGGACGGGGGACAACCTGGACGGGTCGCAAGTCCATCACAGGGCAATTGGCATGGAATTTTTATTTAAAATAATTTATTTTAAATTATTTAGCACCAGTTTGGTTTGCAGCCTAAGATACAGGAGAAGCTTCAGCTGATCAGCTGATCTCCACTCTGCAGCGGAGAAGTGGGCGTGGCCAAGAGCGGCAGGTGGCAGAGTGCAGAGGAGGCAGAGATCAGAAATCAAGTCATTCTGTGCTCTTTTAGAGCGTTTAGAGTTTAGAAGCATTGTTTAGAATATTGCAAG